ATCTGAAGGGTGAAGTGCGTTATGCAACCAGCTTTAATGGATTCATAATACCGTTAGAGGTAAAAAAAACATACAATTTAGTGAAATTTTTTGTTATTCATAACCGAAAATCTGACATTGTACACTTTATTTGTGTAGGTATTGGCTTTTGAGTGCATTCCTAAGCTGGGGAAAAAATTCCGAATTTGTTCATATGGCGCCAGTAAAGATTGTCCTAGGATGTGCAAGAGCCGGTTTACAAAGAGTAACATGAAGGGTTATCCTTTGGAAGATATATATGCTGCGTTTGGAGAGACAAGGGTATATCTTTATATCATTTAGTAGAAAATATTAGAGAATTTAAACTGATATTTCTGAATGTTTTTTTCAGACTATTAACAGTGTGTTGGTTCCAACTGTGGATGAGGAAACTTTGCTGGCTTGTATCATTGATCCGGAGCCAGAGTATCACCGTGAGGGAAGCACAAGTGATAGGTGGAACTACTGGCTAAATGTGAAGCAGAAGAAGATTTGGTGGAAAGAATTATATGAGTCAGATGTTGCTGCACGAAAGCTTACAAAGACGAAAGACAAAGAAAAAGTGACAATTGTAGAAGGTTCATCTTCTAATTCTGGTTTGGAGTCGATTTTGAAAAGTCTGGAAGAGAGGATGGTGAAAGCCATGGAAGAAGGATTTTCTGCAATTAACTCAACAATAGAGACAAACCTGGAGGCTATATACTGGACGATGTGTAAACTTGAGAAGAACCAGCGTCTTTTGAATAGAAGGGCTAAGAAAATAGAAGACAGGCTGGCTTCTATTGAAAACAAGGGAAATGAGGATGTGGAGTTTAGACAATGGAATGAGTTTGATTATAGTAGAGATCAAGGGAAGGATAACAGTGAGGAGGTTGAGGAAGATGAGGAAAACAGTAAGAGAAAGAGCCGAAAGAGCAAGAAGAAAAAGAAGAAGAGCAAGAAGAAGGGTGCAGAAGAGGAAGAGCATGAAGAGCAGAAAGAGCATGAAGAGCAGGAAGAGCTGGAAGAGCAGGAAGAGCAAGAAAGTGTGAAAGGTGACGAAGAGGAAGAGCTGGAAGAGCTGGAAGAGCAGGAAGAGCAAGACAGTATGAAGGGTGACGAATAGGAAGAGCAGGAAGAGCAAGACAGTGTGAAGGGTGACGAAGAGGACGAGCAGGAAGAGCTAGACAGTATTCGTGAGAAAGGGAGAGTACAGGCGGATGCATTATGGAGAAGTATTGATGAGCAAGAGAAAAAAGAATTGGCGGAAATTGAGGCTGAGAAAGAGGCTGAGAAAGAAGCTGAGAAAGAGGCTGAGAAAGAAAATGAGAAAGAGGCTGAGAAGGAAGATGAGAAAGAGGCTGAGAAAGAAGATGAGAAAGCGGCTGAGAAAGAGGCTGAAAAAGAACCTGAGAAAGAGACTGAGAAAGAAGTGAAAACTCCAACAACATCTGAGAAAGAGGGTGAGAAAGAAGTGAAAACTCCTACACTACCACGTGGTAAGACTAAGGCACAGGCCGCAAAGAGACAATCCAACATAATACCAAAGAAACGGTTAACAGTGATAGCGAATTTGATTACTCCACCAGAAAATTGGATAACGGCAGCAATGGTGGGAGAAGAACTTGAGAAAACTGGTGAAGAAGTTGTAGAGAAAAATTCCAGCGAGGAGGAGGAGAAAAAAGATAAAGAACTTGAGAAAACTGGTGAAGAAGTTGTAGAGAAAAGTTCCAGCGAGGAGGAGGAGAAAAAAGATGAAGAAGTTGCAAAGGAAGAGGCTGAAAAGGTGGAAGAATCCGAAGAGGAAGAGGCTGAAAAATACACTGAGGAAGAAAAACAAAGCTGGTACATGATTGTTTACGAAGAATTGTTTACGAAGAACCTGACAAAACAGTTGAAGAAGCTGAGAAAATAGTGGAAGAGGATGTGATACACGGTAAGCCGAAGAGGAAGAGAGGCAGACCAAGGAAGACTGATGCTACATTGAAGCCATGTACACCGCTGCCGGAGAAGAGAAAAGGTGAACCTTCACGGTGGGTGCAGTCTCCTTTCACTGAGGGAAAGACTGATGAGCTAAAAGTGCCAAAGAAGAAGCCTAAAACAAAGGCCGAAATGCTTTTGTTATGTATTTATATTATTCAAGTTGGGATGTTATGTTTGTGCCTAAAATGCTTGTCTTTAACTTGTTAGGATGTTATGTTTCTGCTTAAAATGCTTTGCTTGAACTTGTTATGTTTATGGTTGTGGTATGTTTTTGGAAAACAGGTGTGGTAATTTGAAATTAGAGGGGAAACTCTGCTCAAAATACTTCAAACTTGAAAAAATACTTCATAAACTTGGAAAAATACTTCACAAACGTGGAAAAATACCTAAAATTTTGAAAAAAAGATTTAAAAAACTTGGAAAAATACTCAAAAACATGCAAACCACATGTAAAACGTGCATGGATAAAAAAGTGCAAATGTAAAATGTGCAGCCGTCATATATTTTGATATATTATTTTGATAACACTTAGTAATTCTTGGTAAGCTTCAATAACTTAGTAATACTACCTTATACATAGTAATCTTTTGGGAATTTTTAGGTTTGTCTAGTAAAACCATAAGAAAATAAGCTTTTTTATAGTAATACCGATGCTTTTTCATTATTATTATCATTCGATGATACATTTTCATTACGTATTGGCTAGAAATACGTATTTTTGTAGATTTTCCTTACTATGGCCTAACCATTCACACACTAACAATGATAGTTAAGAGAAATTTTTGGGAAACTGAAAAGATTTTTTTTTTAAATGTTGAAATAACCAACAAATATAGTCGTATAATATTAATATTAAGTAACTAGTCTACGAACTGATAATAATCATAAAATATATCGATAATAATCATAAAATATATATAGTTCAAATAACACATAGTAATACTAGTTAACCAAGTAATCAAAATAACACATAGTAATACCAGTAATCTAGTAATCAAAATAACAAAATAACACATAGTAATACCAGTAATCTAGTAATCAAAATAACACATAGTAATACCAGTAATCAAACACCTGAACCACTTCCACATTCAAAATACGATGCCATACCTCCTCCTCTGCCTGTGCCTGTGCCTGTGCCTGTGCCTGTGTCTGTGCCTGTGTCTGTGCATGTGTCTGTGCCTGTGCATGTGTCTCTCCCTCTTCCACTCCCTTTGCCTCGTCCACTCCCTCTACCTCTTTTACCTCTTCTACGAGATTCTCCTGCTGATGGAAATCTTGTTTGTTGCGGTTTTCCTTTCTTGACTTCAAATTCTGGAGGAAGTATTTTCATTGCTTTAACTTCTTCTGGTATAACCCAATCAGACATATGAGGAATAGGATATACTGTTCTGTGATAAGCCAAAGTCCATTGCTCCACCAAATAGTACTTAGAACAATATTCCGATAGAAGGACTTCTCTTCCTGCTTTATCAGCCATGAATGTTGCAGCAGCTACTGCATGAACACATGGATATTTATCTTTATCAAATTGCTCACATGTGCACGTCTTCATAGCCATGTCCACGGTATAATGTTTCCCGTCACTACCATGCACACTGTACTCGAGATGGTAGCTATTTAACTTGTCAACCGTAAGAAACCCTGCCTGAACACATCATTTAGACATTTCCGTCTCCACAATAGGCACAAGCTTTAGTGCGGGTGGTATTTCAGCTGCCTCCTTCCTGTGGTGGTTAAACCATTCAGCAGTTTTTGCAATGATAAAATCAAACATTGGAAGTAAGGTGAACTTTCTTGCGTTCTTAATAACACCGTTAAAAGATTCTGCTGAATTTGTGGTGTCAACATTGTACCTATCTCCTTCAAAATAACATCTAGCCCATTTTTTTTGTTCACAAGTAGTGTCAAGATACTCCGCTGCATTAGGATACTTCTTTCTGAAAGCGTCATAAAGGTCCAAGAACTCAGCCTCTGTATAAGCGTGTGCGCACTCCATAAACTTAAATGCACATGTATCTCGGTTGTTACGGACATATCCTTTAACATTTTGAGACAAATGCCATATACAATATCCATGAGCAGCCTGAGGGAACACTTGACGTACTGCCTTGATCAAGCCTTTGTTTCTGTCCGAAAAGAAACACCAATCCAGGGACATCAGATATCATTGATTTCAGCTGTTCCATAAACCATAGCCAACTCTCATATTTTTCACCATCTGCAACGCCAAATGCAATTGGGTAGTGGTGATGATTGGGATCCTGAGCAGTCGCAACAAATAACACTCCACCATAAACAGTCTTCAGGTGTGTTGCATCCACAACGAGGACTTTCCTCATCGCGCGGAATCCTTCTATGCTAGCTCCCAAAGCCCAAAACAGATACTTAAATTTTTTGCCCTCATCCACGACCACACGAGTTATTGTGTCAGGATTCGTCTGCTCCATCATGTGCATATAACAATATAATAAAGAATAACTCTCTTCAGGAGTTCCACGCACTTTATTAGCAGCTAGTCTTTTTCCTCTATATGCCGTTGTGTATGATACATCCACATCAACTCTGTGATGAACCAACTTGATCAGTTCTTTGGGATGTGGTGTATCAAAACTGCTGGGATAATCTTGGTCCAAAACAGATGCAACGATTTGTGGTGTGCCTCTCCTTCTATTAGGCAGTGTTCTTGTGGTAACAACAGAACATCTATGCTGCTTTATGTAACTTCTAACTGACCAAAGATCTGTATTCGTTAACTTTGCAACACGCACAAACCACTTGCAGCCTTCTTTGGATCCTCGGCATTTTATCACATATCTCTTAGTATCCGACTGAATTACCTTATACTCAAAACACTTCAGATGTGAAGCAATCTGAATATGAGTTTTCGCTTCCTCCTTGGTTCTGAATTCTTGACCTAAAACCAAATCCATACCATCATCCCACTCCTTATAGACAACTGGTGTGACTTCAACTGAGGGTCCTGCTTCTCTTTCGATGACATTCTCATGCATCTCAATGTCTTCGTAATGTGTGAGCTCACCACCAGTACCTTCATTATCAGTTGCATCCTTCTCAGTACCATCTTCATCACCACCTTCTGTCTCAGTTGCATCTGTATCAATAGCTTCTGTATCAGTAGCCTCTCTATCAGTAGCCCTTCTTTCAGTAGCCTCTCTTTCAGTAGCCTCTCTATCCGATAGACCACCATAAAAATCAGTGTCATCATCCGTTTTGTAAAACTCCACATGTAGAACACTTCTACAATTCTCTTGATTTACTTGCATTAGATAACCGAAAACGTCTTCTTCCTCCCAGATATATGATGGCTTGTTCGAATACATTACCATCGGAAAGTAACTAATCTTCGCTTCCGTCTTATAGTCATCTACCTTTATCTTTTTGCAAATACGCTCAACCAAAACAGAGCGTGTGATCTCCTCCACTGATTTCTTCAACACAATAGTGTGAATTTCATCTTCCCCTTCACCATCTCCCGAAATCCATTTCATTTCAGCCCCATCTTTAATATAATATCCTCCATAATAAAAAAAAAAATGATTGTACAATGCGGATTTTGCATTTTCCTGAAATAAAAATAACGACAATTAGCATTATTTAAAAGTTTAAATTTAATTTCCACGCTTTACACTCTTACTAAGACTAATTTTTTCAATACTAAATACACAGTAAAACCAGTAATACTAGTAATATTTGTAAGCATAATAATACCAGTAGTATCAGTAATACTTTTTTTCCTCAGTAAAACTGAGTATCTTAGTAATACCCAGAAATTATCCTTGCACTAATTAATCAAATTTTTAGTCCGTTTTTGTTCGGATTTTTCATTACCTATGATATATACTTCATATTAATGACATTACACCCAAGAAATCATCAAAACGGGCTCAAAACGTACATAAAATATACCCTAAAACCCATAAACAAAGTTTACAAAATCCTTTTAAATCTCTTAAAATTTTCATTCATTCTTTCTTTTGTTACACAAGCCGACATATACACTTATCTTTATAAGTTTTCCAGTAAAAATTTCATCAAAAACGGACATAAATTATACCCGAAATCCATATACACAGTTTTGAAAATCGTTTTCTCTTTCTCAAATTTTCATCAATTCTTACTTTTTTTGGTTACCCATGGTATACATAAACATTTAAAAGACATTTCACACAAAATTTCATGAAAAACAGACAAGATTTACCTGATTTTTAAGCTCCAAAATCGCCAATGGAGGGTGGGGAAGAAGCTCTACACGCAGGAGAGAGGGAAGGCTGGAAATTCTATTGGTTAAGGTTGCTTGTGGTCCCCATTTGGTTGTTGTGTGTTGGTTGGGTAATTTAATTGAAAATTTAAATGAATTAGTGAGGTGGAGAAGAAATATATTAAAGAAAGAAAGGTTAGTATGGGAAATACAAAGACAAGGGAGTAGTGAGAATAGAGAGGGGCTAGGAAGAATGATTTTTTTTTCATGAGAGTATTACTATTTGGAATTAAAATCCTCTTAAGCTATTTAAAAGTTAATCAAAGAGTATAAAATAATAATATAAGTAAGTTTCTTCTCTAATACAAACAATATAACAATGTTATATATTTTTATGCAATAAGAATGACTAATAATACATGCATGTGTGTAATTCACATAATCTATCCAAAGTACTTTTATTTAGTATCTAAACATTGAATCGTTAATTTTATATTTTTATAATAAATATTTCTTGAAAAAATAATAAATAAAAAATATTAATAATTAAAATAAATTATAGTAAAATTTAATATATAATGTGTTGAACCATTTTTATTGGTCAACAAAATTTACATATTTAAATATTCAAAGTGATTACAAATTTATGAATAATATATATATATATATATATATATATGAAATTAAATTTACATATTCGTAAAATATAATTTAATATAACAAAAATATATAATACATAAATAATATAAATTTTTAAAATATTAAATATAGACTGCTTAACTTC